ACCCGAGAAGCATTAGTTTCATCTAAATTGCTTACTGAAACGACGTCATAAGTCAAACAACTAAGAGACGAAATAAACGCCAAAAGAACCAGCGCATCTGTGTTCGTGTAGATCGGCAAGGTTGAAACGATGAACGGTGTGCAAAAGTTTGGACGGTGTGTCTCATGAAGTAATTTCAGTCGAATCAAGGCCACGAAGCAGGCATCGGTGACGCTCGTGTTCAAACGGGAGACAGATGCACCTAGCTTAGACTTTCCTGCAGGTGGCCTATGACCATGAAATAGTGGATCGTTGAAGATCTTGGTCCGAGATGCACAGTGGTGGCATCCTCATCAATCAATTAACTGTAAATTAAATTTAAAAATGTTTATTTAACTTTAAACTATTGATGCCGGGTTTCACGGCGGAAACTGTGAAGTAAAGTAATTTACTTGACGCCATTGCTGTGGTAGTGTAAGGCAGACTGTAGTCATTACACCAGGTTCTGCGACAATAATGCTTCTTCTCTTATTTCTAGCCGCCTATGAGAACCATTCAAGCAGGTCAAGGCACGATGGTATTTGAGCGCCTACCGTGCATAGGACGCATTCACCGCGTAAAATCTGTATCAGTAGTTGAAAGAGAGTAATTGTGGCCGACGTAATCGAAATGTGGCCATCCTGGACTCAGGTAGCACGCCATCGGAGATATTTCTAAAATTTAGTTTTAAACCCACGCATTGATACTCTTGAAAGTTCATCGTGGAAGAAACCATACACTTTGATAAGTACAATAAAAAATAAATTAATTGTAGCATGCATGAGATCTTTTACCAAGTGGCCAGGCAACAAATCGAAGTTCGGATGGCTCGAATACACTGTATTCCTGACAGTTTTGCGCTTTCAGATGGGTGGAGGAATATGACGAAAATAACCTCCTGGCTACTTCTGGCTTGAAAGTGATAGCCCCCCCCTGAATGAAGAGTGGTGACTTCCAAAATTTCCTGCCAAGCATCCTATGCATTTTGTGCTTGTTTCAGCTGTTTCGCCTCAACGTATTCCAATCGACTGTCAGATGGGCGAAAGTAAATGTGACAATGCGGCCCTATAAAGCGGCAAGCAAATTAAAGGCCTGGATAGAAGGTGATAAACCATAAGGACATTCCATATTTGCACTTTTTACGTTTAAATCATCGACAGATAAGCAGCCTACGTCAACGTCTCATAGCTCGACGTTGAGAAACAGTCTGACAAGCAGAACAGTACGATTCTTTTGCAGACACTAGATCAGACACTTCCGTCCATTTCCATGGATTGCGAAGGATGGAGCAGACCTCAAATATGCGGTTAGGGAAGTCGTTGCCATTAGCAAAAGAGTCACGCAGTGATTCGATCGGTGAGACTTAGATAGTTCAAATCTTCATAAAGTAAGTTGGTTTTTGTTTGTTGAAACTATCCCCTTTGAGGCGTTTGAAGAGCAGTACAAATGGGCTGGAGTAAATGACCCATGATTATTCAGTTTGTGTAGCGGGTCTAGCCTCATTTTCTTATTCTCGATATCTACTGTTGCCACCCTTCCATGTCCGGAACAAAATAGTGTCTTTCCTTACATGGTTCTGACATTTGACCCTTATTATGCATCGAAGCCAACGCTACTGCAAGCATTTGGACCTTTGTTGTGCGCAAAACTGTTTCCACTCCGAGCAACAACGCTGGCCTGGCCGAGGCAATGGGCAAGCGAGGTAAACCGAGCAAGGTAAGGTTTCATTTTACCAAATTAGGTAAGTGAATACCACTGCATTGGAAAGAGGCAGCCGACTAAGCGGTAAACGTCGAGTTCAGAGTTCAAAAGAGTATCACATCTCTAGCAACAGGACAAGATGCCCGTGGTCCTGCTTTTCAACTCTTAGAACGGTTTGCTCTGTTCACTCAATACTTACAAATCACCTTGCAGCACGCTCTATCAGCTGTTATTAGGTCGAAGTTCCGAAAAGTTGGTGATTGTTTGCGATCTGTCGTTTACTATTATAAATCCTACTGCTGTGAAGATGAAGTTCTTTCTGACGCATATCTTGTACACTTCAAAACCGGACAGCAGCAAACTCCGAGCATAGGCAATTTAACAGTGTGATTTGTTTCTGTCGGCTTCTCTGCGTTTAGTAGGTATAGCGTTATTTCCCGAAGCATGATTTCGATGCCTCGTCAGCTATAAATTATTGTCTGCTCATCGCATTCCCTATCAGCCGCTGGATTTAGCAGTTTTGCCGTCTGAACGACGGTGAATATTTTTCATCGCCTTGCCAGTTGCTCCTGGTCACGCGAAAAGGAGGCAAGTTCAACGCGATGATTGACTGCAGCCGCCGTTGCCGTTGCCGCTGCCGTTGCCGCTGCCGCTGCCGCGGCCGTTGACGAGACCGAAGCCCCGACGTGGCTGTTGATTTGGCTAGGCGAAGCCAACCGGTCGATCGCACCCCTAATGTTACCCTGTGAGGCTAGGGCTTTTTTACTACCTCCGTCGGAGTGCCGTTGTTTTTCGCCTAGTAAGCTGTACGCCTGCCCTGCGTTGTATCATGCTCGTTTCATAAGGATCGCTTCGAGTCTGCGGCAATGGCGACGGCAGCGGTGGCGACGGCGGGGCGATGGCTACTGGTACATACTTTCGTCGTGTCGTCATGGGTGTCGAACGTTTCGTGTGTCATTGGAACAGTCCAGACGGCGCCAACACGTTGTTCGGCAACGACCGATGCATTACACTTATCAAAACGTGGCCATTAACCGAAGGACAGCAGCCACCGTCACCTCCGCCGACGCCTCTGCCTCGCGAAACCAGCACATTTGCCTTGCGGTGGTGGACGTGTGACCTTAGGCCGGACGGCAGGCCTCGCCTTGACGTATGCTGGGCAACAAACCAACGGCGCTGCATGCGTCCGTAGCCGATCACTGCCGACGACGAGACGTACGTAGCCGTTTTATGCACAGCTTGACTCGTTCACAAATGACCTACTTTTTCCAACTTCTGTTGTGATTTGATGATGTATGATGTTTTATTCAAAACAAACAGAAGGCCGTCGAAACCTGAAGGAAACGAAACCGTGTAGCACGAGCCACAGAAAAGAAAGCGAGAACTTTTTGGCGTAATGTACGATGCCTCAAGTCCACCTCCGTGCCTCACATTGATTCTGCTTGGCACCCGTTTTGCGACGTTCCACGGTGGCAGAATGTTGTTCTCCGTAAAAACTATGCCCGGCAGTAAACGTTGCTTTGGGCGAGTATGATCGAGATCGTTCAACAGGACGAAGTTGTTGCTACTGGTTGTGATAATCGTCTTGAGTCATTAGCGGTAGCAGAAAGTCTCTGAGTTGCGACGTTCATTACATTCTCAACTTTTCAACACTTTTTCAATAATACTCCATTACTGCGTAGCAAAATGAGAAGATTTCTCCAAACGCAAATTCGCTTTGTTCATTCTTGCTGCATGCTGGTCATTTGGTCGATGTCTGCCGTTTCGCGGTGTACACATGAGAAACTCGCATGCTGGAATAATGGGTTCATATCCAGTAGCAACCTGGTCCAACTGAAAATTAGTCACTTTCATTCTAATGCCCTCATCTATAGAAGATGCTCATGTCCACACAAGATGAAGTACGGTGAAGTGTATACTCCCGAGTCACGGCTGTAGCAGCAGAACGTCATCCCTAATTACAATTACGGACCGGCCGTAAGCCAGCAACGCTTTCGAGATATCCGGTTGTATTCCCAGCGGACCTGGAATACGTCAGTGACATCGTGCTGCTGAACGATTCCACAGATGGCCAACAGAGAGTCACGGGAAGCGTGTGCAACACGACTATAGTACTGGGGCTGCAAGTCAACGCCAGAAAGTGCCCACTCTGACAGTCAGCCCGAAGATACTATACGATGGTATTACAATGGACGAGGTGGATCATTTCAAGTACCTCAAAACTGCGTTGACTAATAGTTTCGACATCGACCCGTAGTCCAAACGGAACATTGGCATCGCGTCAGCGAATTATGTCAAACTGTACGACAAATCGAAGCATAGGACTACAAGAATGGACACGAAGATCACTATCTACGTTTTGGTGCTTATGTAGAGTCTCAAACAACTGCCATTCTGCAATGTCATGAGGCCCTTATAGACTGTTTGAACAACGTCTGAACGACCAGGAGTTGACATCACCGACCTGGTAAAATTGTTAGATGAACTTAGAGACCGGCGCTTGGCTTGGGTTCATAAAACGGCCGATAAAGAAAATGGAAATGACCTTTTCTGCCACGGGAACAGGTTGATAGTCATAAATGCCTCAAGGACAAAACAAAATGTGGAAGTACCTCATTTAGGCAGACTTTATTGCGATGAAAATATGGCCAATGCTTCAGCAGTACACGTTACCTAATATCGATTTTAAATGCCATTGCTAATGGTTAGTCGTCATAAATCTGCATTCCTTTGCTATTTAAACTCACTTACGCACAGATCATGACGACAAAATAACACCAAAAACGATAACCATATATGTTTGTCAATAGCCTTGAAACAATCGACTGATACGGGTTTCAAGAGTATTTTTGCTCATTATAAAACACATCGATTGCAAATACATTCTAGAAAATTTTGAGTCACTCCGCCTATTAATCCACAGTAAATGTGGCATCTTTCTCTTGACGAGCAGTAAGCATCACGCTCAAACTTAAAAAATTCCAGCACTTCGAGACTGGAGGCTTGAAGACCTGTTGCTGTTTCCCCAATGGGTTTCCAATGCCAGCAACGTTTTGTTCTGCCTCGGCTCATGATTCATTACCGACCTTCACAATTTCATTTTATCAAGTGCCGGAGCTCTGCGCACTCAATTTTCACCTTCAATTTCATCTTCCATGACCGCTCCTCCTTTCGCTCACGGAGGCAGACGTGCCAGACAGTGCTTCCAACGTTCCAAATTCTGTGCTAGAATCTGAGCAACGGTAGTTGACAACCGCAGTCTACAAGAGTCTCCATCCATACATGTGCCTCAGGTTAATCTTGGCCGTTCCTCGGTATTCTGTCGGTCGACTGGGTAAGTACTAGTTCCGCAGTCATTTTTTCTGCAGGCATTCATAACACATCCAAATCATCGCAACTATGATTTCTCAATCTGGAGAGGCAAAGGCTGTACACCAAGGCTCTCCGTATATCTGTATTTCGGACCATGCCGAGACGCGTAAGACTAGGGACTCGTCTAAGAAAGTCCATTTCAGCAGCTTATATTCGAGTTCGAAGTTTTTCAGTCATGGTCCACGAACCGAATACTCCCGTCCGCCAGTAAACGGCAAAACGAGAGCATTAAGAATTACGCCTTATATACGTTCACACGCTTCCCTGTTACGTTGCACTCGGTTGTGAACCTTTCTAGGGAGTACTATAGATCAGTTTCAGACGATACAAACAAGTCGCCTGCAAAGAGCATCTCCTTGTCTCCACATCTCCCAGGCGGATTGACTGGTCGCCCTGCTGGCGCCCGACTATTCTATCCATGTACAATACAAACAGGAGAGGGGACAGAACGTAGCCTTGATGGAGACCAATGACAACCCTGAAAGGTATCGATTTAACGCCATTTACTATGATGCAGCACCTGCTATCAGCATATAGTGGTTTCATGGCCCGTTAAACTGACCATGCCAACTGACTGACATGCGGGACCCGATCTTAGGCTTATTCTAGGTCCACAGAGCACGTTTATGCCGAACTAGCGAATTTCCACAATTTCTCAACAACTTGTCATAGGCAGAACATTGCGGCGAGGACGGAAGCCGCACTGCTCCTTTTCTGTTTTGGTATCAGTTATTCAGCGGTATTTCCTTTCCAGCACTTTTGAGTAGGCATGATTCGGGAAACTGAATAAGATTATTTCCCAAGAATTGGAGCAATTCCTGTGGTCTCCTTTCTTGAATAGGTGCATTACAACCCTAGTTCTCCAGTCCGCTGATACCTTCCCCGTACTTACAGTTTGACAAACACGTGAAAGCCATCATATGCTTTTTTCGCCCATTGCTTCCAAAATTTCCGGGCGGATTTGATCGATTGATGATCCAGCTGCTGTGCTACTTTTCAGTTTTTTATACCTTCCATGACTTCATCTACTGAAAGATCAATGTTTCTTGACTACCACTGATGCCGTGGTCAAATCACCTCAAATTTATACTTCCCTCAGGCAGCCAGCATATACTTCCATATAAATTCTAGGATATTCCTGCTAATATTTTTTTATTAGTTCTCCACTTCTGATTCTACGAGCTGAACTGTAATATCGTCTTCGCCTTGACCTCTTCCTGTGCTTTAGTGCATTTAGCTCTTCTTCGGGCAAGATATTTGGAAATTTCACACATTTCGTATAATTTCATATAATTCCTCAGGTTTTTCTCGTCACGCAGAATTTTGTTTTCATATTTGTTTTCTGCCTTGACATTTGCAAACTTTTATGGAAATCTTCAGCTCATTTTAGAGTGTTTTGTCCGTCCCTGGTGACAATCCGGTCTTTTGCTTTGAGAGCTAAATTTCCTTTCCCGACCAGCCACCGTTGATTTAATTCTTAATTCTTCAGTTTTCTCTTCACTGATTTGCAATCAAACGATCGATTGTCATCTTTCATCCGGTGTTAAATATTTTCCACAATTTTACGTTGATCTTCTACTTCTGCATCTTACTGACACACGACCAATCCTGGGCTCAATGTAGCAATTCAATTGAATCACACACGTATGTGAATTATTTGCTACTTTCAGCCGGTCGACAAATCTTAGTCTCGACAATTTAATTAGCTATGGAGTTGTTGAGATTCTAATCTGTTTCTTATTAAGTTGTAATTTACAAACAGCGTTGAGTTGAACAGCGAAGATGAAGGCCATGTTTGAGTACATAAATGTTAATTGGGAAGCAGATAACAAACCTTGAAAATCTTTACTGGACTTCGCATGAGAAAACTGTTGATCTAAAATGATGCATTTTGTGTAGATCGAAGATCCGGTTCGTCAGTCTGAACGGTTCTTATCATTTTAAGCTAAACATAGCTTTTAAACTAGTTTGCTGTTTATTCTAAGGGTGATTAACTAAGTTTGGAAGCGAGTGGCGTTTTCTTTTGCAGTCATCATCACATGACAGCAGCATCAATTTCGAATCTCCGGCACGACAGCAGACTTTTCTTCTTAATCCATAATTCATGATTAACAGTAGGTGCAGTATGATTCCTCGGTCCGATACAACGAGTGAGAGCCTTGCCGTCACGAGGTTATAACTGTTTGATTTTGATAAAGTCTCCTGGCCAAGAGTGCCTTGTCCGCGGCATGTCGATGTGAATTGTCGATTGAAGACTTCTCTAGACAAACGCTTTGCAGTAGAAGATGAACTGTTAGTCATCAGGCGATCCCACAGTGTAACGCGATGTAACAGCGCGGTGTATTTTTGAAATACGGTACGTTAAATGAACAACTGTCAGGGTTGGGTTAGAGCTTATATTTATTCTGGCGTTTATGAATGTGGTTGTGCTTTTTCACTTCATCATAATCTTGATCAATGGATCTGCAAACCTCAGAAGTTGTAATCGTCATCATCGGCAGCTAATAACGCCATAAAATTGAAATTGCGAAAATTTTGAAGTGTGAGGCGCTTTAATGTCCAAAATTTACACTGGACATTGGAATTGTTGATGCTATTCATCGACAACTGCATCCTGTGTTGGATTATCCACACACACAACCGGGGTGACATTCTCGGGTCAGAATAGTGCTCATTGCGCATTTCGGCGCACTCTTCGACTGGAATTCTCGTGCCATCTACATCACTCAAGTTATGCTTAATTCCATTGAAACTGAAAAAGCGTTCCCCGTTGCTGTTCATCTTGTAAGAAGAATATTTTGTTGTGTTAGATGCACCTCT